GACTGTTTTTGCCTCTTTTCACAGATCCTGGATTTACTGACGCACTCTCTGAAGCCACAGAGGTTGAGTACCTGAGGAAGGTGCTGTTTGAATACATGATGGGACGGGAAACCAAAGTACGTCTTTCTTCACACTAAACAAACCGCCTGATCATTTCTATGCTTCATTGTTTGAGTGTTTTAGTTCCAATTGCCCAATTATCGTGATCATCAGACAAAAAATACCTGTCCCCAATTCTGGGGGACTGTTGACCAAAAATAACAAAATAACATACTAACAATAACGAGCCTGCAGTGTGGCAAGCTAAGCACTTTTTATCATGGAAAGTATGGCCCCAGCCTTAATCATTCTTTCCTCTACAGGCTGTTTTCTATAAATACATTAGGATGTGGTCAGTACAGTGAAGCCGTCCAAACCACCTAATTTGAATAAATCTAGGAGTCCATCCTGTGATTGTATCAGGTAGCCATGACACCCACCCGCCACACAAGTCGTGGGATCATTTAGAACACCTTATAAAAGTCATGTTGCGTCCAGCTCTCCTCCGCTCAGATTAACAGTGAACTCTCTAATTAGCGGTGCTGTTGACATGGTCCTAAAGTCAGCGGGGTTTTCCCCCGTCTCCCTCAGCGAACAGTCAGCCTTTATGGCGGCGCTGCAGACCTCCGCAGCGTGCTGCATGTCCCCCAGGCTGCCTGCTAGCACGTACATCGTGCATGACGCAGATTTACCATTTAAAGTCATGCTGGCCCTGTTTAGTGTTAGCTGAGCGCTTAGCAGCCCTGTTTGTCATTATCTCCTGTGTTTATGGGGGGACTCGTGCACTCGGGCAGACCGGCCTGGAATTGATTTTTTCCCCCTTTTTTTTTGGTTTTGTTGGGTTTTAATTGTTGCAGAGTTTCTCAGTAGCTTGGATGGATTATTGTGTCAAAGGCAGCGGGGGGAACTGGATCTGGATTTATAAAAGAGTCGACAGTTTGTGCATGAAGCACACATGGAAAATAATCGTTTGACACTGAACTACACACTAAACAAATAAAGCAATAGAAAAAAGGTTAGAAGACTTTTAGTTTAAGGCATGAAGTCACTTTTATGATTGTGGTAATAAGTTCTTTAAATTGTTTAAGCTTTGTGTTTAATATGTTTATTTACTTTTCCCCTGTTTTATTTAAAAGTTTATTTAATGTTCTTATATGGCATCAAACTCCCAAAGACTAAAGACGAGCTCACTGCAGCACATTTTCACAATAAAACAAAGTCTTCATGTAGTAAAAATCTGCATGTTTCCTTCTTTAAAAAAAACAACAAAGTAAACGTTTTCTCTTCACCTGCAGACGATGGCCAAAGTGCTCACCTCCATGCTCAAGTTTCCTCCGGACCAGGCGCAGAAGGTTTTGGAGAAAGAAGACTCAAAAACATCTGTAAGCATCCGATGACATGTTCACTGTTAATACACCTGCCCGTCATAACACCTGTGTGATTCTTAAAGTCGTTCTCCTTCTTGTCCCTCCACAGCCGTGGTTGAGTGTCTGAATAATTCGGGTATTTTTGGGATGAAAATCTGCTGCTGCTGCTGCTACTGCTGCTGAAGGGGACGACTGCCATGGACTCATTTAGCCCTTCTCTTTGCATTTATTGTCATTTTATGCGTGCACGTGTGCGGGAGTGCGTGTGTGCGTGTGTGCGTGTGTGCGCGTGCGTGTGCGCGTGTGCGTGCGCGCGTGTGTGTGTGTGTGTGTGTGTGTGTGTGTGTGTGTGTGTCTTTATCTAAACAGGTATGAGGGACATAGACAAAATGCCAGAAACATAAATCTTCCATGAATCGTTTGTTAATTTATAAGTTTTAGATTAAGTTAAATCGTTTCCTTTTTTTAATTTTAGACGTCGTCGTCATGGATATGGATTGGCTTTGTGCAATAAATGATCTCACTTATCACGTGTTGTTGAGGCTGACAGGTCAGTTGATTTGTAGGTTTGTGTTGTTGTTGTTGTCGTCTGAATCACTTCCTGTGTGAAACTGTAAACGACCCTTTAACTGTGCACTCGCACCACGTTGACACGGACCGGCCTCGGGACCTCGTCTGTGTACCACAGCTTTTCTATGCTTTATATTGGTCACATAGAAACACTAAAAAAAAAAAACAGAAAGAAATACACAAATTGTAAATTGTATTCTGGTGATTAAACTGTACTATAAGGCACTATACTGTATGACTACGTTTTCAGAATAACAGATTAAATCCTATTTACAGAACGCTGTGTGTCGCTCTTTTCTCCTCACTGGTGTTGTAGTCAGGACCGCCCGAACCAAGACCGAGACATACCCAAGACCAGAGTGCTCAGAGATCGAGACAAGACCCAAGACATTTAGGGATCAACCCGAGTCAAGACCAAGAACAAGGCAGGGCGAGATCGAGACAAGACAAGACATTTAGGGATCGAGACAGAGTCAAGACTAAGACCAAGGAAGGGTGAGACCAAGACCAGGACATACCCATGGCCAAATTGCTCAGAGAACGAGACCGAGGGATTGAGACCGAGTTGAGACTGAGACAAGACCAAGACATACCCAAGACCAGAGTGTTCCGAGACCGAGACAAGAACAAGACATTTGTGGATCAAGACTGAGACCAAGGCAGGACGAGATCGAGACAAGACCAAGACATACCCGAGACCAGAGTGCTCCGAGACCGAGACCATAAATATCACTCAAAAATCATCATCCTGTGTTTAGGGGGCGTGTCACTCACTGAGACCGTAACACCGGGAAGGTTGCGGCTGTAACCGAGGGGTAAAAATCTACAACTTGAAGTTATTTGTTCTTTTAGTCTGAGGCGTTTTCCTTCTAATCTTAGTAATGACATGAAAATAACAGATCAGTGGTGGTCTTGATCGGTCTTGATTTAGAATCCAGAGTCTGACCAGACTCCAACACTTGTCCTCGTTATCACTCCCCGTCCTGCCTGTGAGGTCACATCATCTCTCTACCTGCTTCCAGTCGATGTCAGAGGTCTAACGGGCGATAATCTTTGATAACGAGCTGTTTGAACACACCAGAGGAATGCAGACATCTCATCTGTGTCGTAACCATCCTGTTGGTATTGGGAGCTGATATCCAGGAGTAACCTGAGTCTGACCTTAGTGTCAGACATTTACAAACCTGAGAGTAGGAAGGGTTCTTATTGGTCTAATGTGTCCGTGTAGGTTCTCAGTCATCGGGGTCGTGGTGAAATCCGAGCTGGATAAGACTTGTGAAACATCTTCAACTTCGACTTTGGATCAAGCTTCAGATTAGTCAAATATGTTGACATGTACAAAAAGTTGACAGTTACAATCCTAGTGTGTGTTAAGAAAACACACAAATATAATATATAAAACACACATGGTTTGCAGGTTGCTTAAATTCTCCATTGGAAACATTTAGAAGCTGTAAAGATTCTTGTTTCCCACTAAAAGTAGAACAATATTGAATTAAAAAGTTCATTTGTGAGTAACTTTCTGATGTTTTCTATCTGAATATTTAAGTATGTAAATGTCCATCTATCCATGCATCATCTGCTGGATAACGCCCGGGAGAACATGCAGACTCCACAGAGAGAGGCTCCTGTCAGACGGGGATTTAAACCAGGAACCTTCTCGCTGTTGCCTCATAGGATAAAGGTCAAGAATCAATGAATTCAAATGCAATTTCTGTCATTTAGATTAACAATATGCATGTGCTGGGGCGCTGGTAGCCTAGTGGTTAGAGCGTGTGCCCCATGAACAGAGGCTTAAGTCCTCCTAGCTGGCAGCCCGGTTTGAATCCAACCTGTGGCTCCTTTCCTGCAGGTCATTCCTCACTCTCTCTGTCCCTGATTTCTAACTTAATTCACTGTCATGTCTCTAAATAAAGACACAAAAAGCCCTGAAATAAATCTTTAGAAAAACAACATGCAGGTCTTGTAGTCAGTGTTATATTTTGATCCACACCAGAAGATTTCATGTTTGAATTATTCTTACATTTCTCACCTTTTAATATCAGATAGTAACTAGAAAAATATACAAATATCGCAAAAAACAACCTCAGTGGGTCATTTTCTACTCACCCATGCATCTAAGAGGTTAATACTATTAATAATAATAATAATAATAATAATAATAATTTATTATAAGCACTTTTCAAAACAGGCTTATAAAGTGTTTGCCCGCAGGTCCTGTGTGTGTGAGAACAAAGCATGTATCTCTATAACCAGAAGTGTAAACCAGACTACTTTCCCCCTCAGGATTAATACAGAATGATAAATAATACAAAAATAGACCAGGACTTAGACAAATACACTTGCTTAGATTTGAATTTTTGCAGTGTAATGCTTGTTTTTTTTCCGTCTCTCGTTTAATTTTCTCTTAAATCATTTATTTTAAATTCTTATTTAATCCTGAGTATCCAAAAGTAAACAAGAAAATAGCGACCCTGGTTTTAATTGGGAGACTTTAGCTTCAAGGGGACAGAAGCAAAGAAAATGTTTTTATGATGAGCACATTCACAAACATGTGTCTCAGTGTAACAGCTGGAACAGGCTGTTTTACACTTTGACCCCAAACTGTCACAAGTACATCAATGGAAAGGACAAATAAGATGTGTTCAAATGGGAAAATGCAGATGTTAGTTTTGGTAAGTGTTCGTGGGGGAAACGATAGGTGGCAGCACTGAGCCCTCACTTCTCGGTTTAGGTTGAATGGAGCCCCCCAAAGCCCACGGGTGGTGTAATGTGATTCTTTGCGCCTCAAAACCACTCGCGTCTCTCCATGACCGCGTCAAAACGTCACCGCGCCAGAGAGGATCACGCAGGTTCCGGTTTCATCTTTCACATTTCAGCCCTCGCTTGTAGGAGTTTGGACCGTCGACTTAAGTTTTTACCAAGAGTGCTGCTTTTATTTTGAAGGAAACGCCCACCTCTCCCGGTCTTACCCAGACTGCCTCTCGCAAGCTTCGCACATCTGACCGCATTTATCACCGCGACTGGGGCTCCCGCGAGCAACAACTTTCTCAGATTGACACAGAATGGAGAGAAGCTGACGCACCGTTATTTACCGGACCGTTAACTTTTCCTCTTCGGAGCCTCTCCTCATGCCATCACAACACACACCCTGCGCGACACCAGGAGAAAACAAGTGAAGACGGAGTTTCTGTAACAGTTTGAAGAGCTGAAAGTTCCCTCCTTATTGTTTTATCTGCTTTTTTTGGACACTTTTTACTGCGTTTTTACGCACGATGCGCAAAGGGATGGATCCTATCCGGAGACTTAAAATGGGAGTGCATCATGTTTTTTACATCTTTATTTCTTTTTCGCTTGCTTATTCTTACAATATAGACTTAGAACATCCTTTAGTCTTCCGCGGACCAGATTCTAGTTTTTTTGGCTACTCTGTGCTGGAGCATTATCATGACAACACACGCTGGTGAGTCCAATCTTGTCATGTTCCTGGAACTGCTTTTTTTGTGTGTGTGTGTGTGTGTAAGTGCTGTGTGATGCAATGAGTTTGTTCTTTTGAAATGTCAAAGTTTCTCCCGCAGGCTGCATCCATAACTATTAAATACGAAGTGAGGATTTTCCTCATGAAAAGGCATATCTGTTTCTTCTGTAGCCTTTTCCTCTTAATGGTTTCTGTGATTCTGTTGGATGATTTGTGGGTGAAATCCCCCTCTCTGTGTCCCATCCTTTTCCCCTCTCCTCATGTCGGCAGGCTTATAGTAGGAGCTCCGAGGGCAAACTCTACCTACAGTAGCTCTGTGCACTCTCCTGGAGCTGTGTATAAGTGTCGGATTCACAGCAACCCAGAGCGCCGCTGCACAGAGATGGACCTGGGAAGAGGTCAGTCACAGCCACTCACTGCCTGCAGCAGAAATACAAAACGCACATAATGACATATACATGAGTGCAGCAGCCTCGGGGCAACTCATGCATCCAAAACACAGACCTAACAAATAAACACTCATCTATAACAGAAAAGTTCACTACACACACTCATGCACACACTGGGCTTTCCTGCAGCTTTTCCTTGTCCACTCTCTGCATAAACTCCCCCCAAGCATCTGTTTTGTTTTATGAGAATAATGCAGCCTTATACCTCTCTTAACAGTGCTGAGTTGTTCTCCCGGTTCTCAACCTGCTGAAGGGGGAGACATGTAAAAGAAAAAAGAGAGTTCTGTGTGCAGAGGTCCATAAATATTATGATAAATATGATTTATGCTCTTGCTAATATTTTCCAAGCATGTGAGCCAAAAGGTTGAGCTTCAACCCCCCCCTGAACTGAACCCCCCCTCCGGCTCTGCTCTCGTGGTCAGGAGAAAGCCGGGGTGCACGCATGGCTTTAATATTAACCCAGCGCTCAGTCAATGTGTCACCAGAAAATAAACATGTATGATCAGAGTGAGCGTGTCCCGCCTGCCTGGTGCTCGGTGAGGAGCATGAACCTACAACACACACTGACACACACACACACACACACACACACACTGACACACACTGACACACACACACACTGACACACACACACACACACACACACACACACACACACACACACACACACACACACACACACACTGACACACACACACACACACACACACACACACACTCACAGCTACATGCCATTGTGCTGAATCAATCGTCTTCAGGGAGAATGAGGACGACCATCAGAGAAGTGGGGAGAAAACTAAGAGAGAAATTAATATGAGATTGTGGCTTTTTCCCTTGCATAGTTCTTTGTCCTTTTATTGGCTTAATTGTCTTAATGTTGAATATTTAAGTTGACTTTATCTTGATAAAGTTCCTGATCAGCTTTCAGATTAATGATCTTCACAAACTGACTCAGAGACGCTTATGTTAACTGCATTACAAAGCAGTAATACATACACATCAGTAAGTTGAATATTGAATTATATGGGTTATATTTGAATCATGTGAGGAAGAAGATATACCTGCACACTTACTCAAAGTCCACAAAAAGTTTTTATTCAATCACAGTCACAACATTTAGACCAGACGTCTTCTGCAGATGATCGTTCTTCTTTTTGTGATTGTGATGTAATAAAAACGTGTGGCATTTGAGTAAGTGTGCTGGCATATCATCATCCTCAGACTACAGTTGTTGCTAAACAGAATCATACCAAATGACAATTTGCAGATATGAAAGTAAATTGTGCAACATTTAGAGTTTAAAACGATCACATTTAATGCCCCTTAACCCCGGGGAACAGCATGCAGGGTGGCTGAGCTTTTAAGACAGACAGAACTTTTGTAATTTGTGTGTCATGATGGATGTCATCACCTCGCTGTCTGCAAAACAAATCTACTTGCAGGTACAAATAAGGGAACTTGAACCTGAACTTAAACCAGAACCTGAACCAGAATCGTGCAGCCCACATCCACTTCATTAAATTACATGAACCTTTTGATTTGTTACAGCGCTTAATGGGTCCTTAAAAACATTTGGTTTTTATGCAATATAGAAAATGGAATCTCACAATATTGCCAATGTTTTTGTTCACAACAACATTGGATTTTGATACCAACCTGAGATTCACTCTATTTGTTTTTCTTTGAGTAAAGGTTACAGTGTGTTGACAGCTGTTCAGAAACAGGAGAGGTGTTGTGAAATACTCCAAATAACCACAAACTGTTCGTCCAACTGTTCACAAAAAAGACTTAAACATTCAGCAGAATAAAGAATAAAAACACACAACACAATAAAGCTGTGAGGTGACATGTTGCTCGCTCAGAGGCATCCTCCCTCCTGATGACTCAACGTCTGCAAACTGCTCTCATTGTCTTGTAGGAAACCGGCTGAGGGAGTCGTGTGGGAAGACGTGTCAGGGCGACCGGGACGACGAGTGGATGGGGGTCAGCCTGGCCCGTCAGAACAAAGCTGACGGCAAAATCCTGGTGAGTTCAAAGACAAAAAAAACAGAACTCTAACTCTGCAAACCACACACACACACACACACACACACACACACACACACACACACACTCATAAAGGCAGACCAGAATCATCGTTTTACATGTCTGACATGAACCACTGAACCACAACAGAAAACTCCTCGAGTGAAGAGGTCGTTTCTTCTCTTCTTTGTTACATGCTTACAAACTTTGAGATGCACAAACTGAAACTGCCAAACAGTGTGTTGTGTTCAGAGGGTTGCAGTCAGCATGGCCGCTTTTTAGAAACAGGAGTACAAACGAAGGCACTAGGGGATGTAGGAAAACATATTATATCAACAACAAAGAGTCACACTTAAAAAGATCTGCAGGAATTTAAAATTTATGTCACAACTTGAATATTTTCACAGCCTCAGCTTCATCCTTTTAGCTCCATGCTCTAATGTAGTGGATCAGCTGTCTGAGTCAGAAACTGCAGCTGAACATTGGCACCTTCTATGTGCAGCATGCATCATAAAGAAAGTGATTTCAATGGAAAGGTGAATCAGTTACCTCGTTTAAAAACACGGTGAGCATGTAAAGTGATAGTAGACGTTCTTTAAGGAGCTAAATTATACGTCTCTCTGGCCGCAGTGGTACAAAGGATTTCTTTTTGTGTGGTGGTGTTGTCTGGTGTCTCTCACAGTAAGCAATCTGTACTGTGTTTTACAACGTTTTCTGTAGAAGTAAGCGTGCTCAAGACCAGATTGTGATTCACATTTGGGCAAGACTTGTGGATCCCTACTGGTAAAGAAACAGACTTAACACGATATTGGTGATTCTCCATGACATGCAAAAGCAAAACACACCATCAGATAGAATATTGACCAACCACTGCCTGACGCCCCAGCCTCCACCATCGGACTGTGTCGTCCACACAGCCGCCACCGTCCTCCTTCATGCACGTACATGCATGTACAGCCAATTAGCTGTACCAGAGTTAGCTATAACCTAGTTACATCTGTAGTCCCTGTAGCTCCACAAAGAACAGAGTCATATTTATTATGTTTTGAAAGACCTTGGTGTATGATGGGAGGGAGTGTGGGAGCAATTTGTCATGAGAAAATGAGAAGTATGTATAGTTTAAAGACTGGAGATTCTTCCTTATAACTCAAAACACACTTGTAAAGGACACGACAGGCAGAGAGATTTATCACAGATTAAACACAAAATGAAAGTTCCTCACAGTCGCCTGAAATGATGATTTTTTTTTTGCAGAAACAGCTTTTTTGGAAACTGCCTTGTTGTTACATAACACTGTGAAACATTTACCTCGTGTTTGGAGCTGGACGAGTCAGTGGAGCGGGGGTTATTTAAGAGCGGGTTGTTGTTTATAAGAAAATCAAGTGAGGTGGGTTTTAGAGAAGTAGAACTTACTTGTGGTGCTAATCCCAGAGGTGCTCGGCTCGGTGTTTGCTCAGAGATCAGAGGGCAGCTGGCACAGTTTGTTTAGGCTGAGGACCCTCCGCGGTGGTGGTTCCCCTTCCAAGGCTGGCCTTTCATTAAACGTTAACCCCCCCTGTCTCGTGTGCGGTGGGGTAATGACTGGAACTATCCGCCTTCAGGTCGGTCTGCTGGACTGCAGCGCTCCTGACAGGTGTGAATGTGTATGAATACCTGCTGCTGACTGACCTCCTCCTGAGGGAGTCAAAAAGAATTCCTCCTCCTGCAGACTCGGCCTGATAAAACCTCTGTTCTTTTCAAAGTGTTTCTCTTTGTTCCATTTTTTTTTGTACCTAGAGGAATGTCCTGGCATGGATTTCAAACCCTTACCCTTGGCTTTACTCGTCGGTCAGGCGTTCTCGAAATGTGAAGACTTCTTGGAGTTGTCAGTTTTTTAGAGTTTTACATCAACAAGCTTTGAGATGAGGTTATTATGATAAAATAAAAAAAAGGAGTGACTGTGCAGAGAGCCACGTGTTGCCGAGCGCCCCCGTTTGGTTCTTTATCTCATCTGAGTGGACTCACGTTTCTGTGCAGCGGGGAGGGAGGGGAAGCGGCTGCTTGGCAGATGTGTACAGTGGTGATTTCATCGGTGCTCTCAGCGAGGGCCTTGTTTGTGACCAGTGAGCCTTTAAAACTGAGCGAGAACATCATGACAACACCGTCTCCTTAACCCCTCAATCCATCAAGGCTGTTTCTGCTGCTTTGACAGAAATCTTCAGCTGCAGCGAGCTTTGTTTACGTCAGCTGATCGACCTTTGTTTTTCCAGCAAACCTGATTCTACTTAAAGTCTTTATTTGTGATTTTTCACACTTAAATGTAGAAATCAAGTATCTCCTCTGAAAATAACTCTGTGAGTCATGACTGTCTACAATGGGTGTAACACCCGAGTCCCACTGTCTGTGATGTTTTCAGAGTTTTCAGAGTCCTATCTTCACTTTGTTTACATCGCCAGGACGGCCGGCTGACTCCTCCCCTCGTGTATAAAAGTTGTTTAATTGAGGGACTAGAGAAAAGAAGAATAACATACTGTACTCACTGCTTAACTGTGTTTCTAGATCACGCTCATTTCAGGTAAATTTACATGCAGTGTGAAGATACCAGCATAATAAAGATCGCTAGCATTAGCATGCTAACACAACAATGCAGCGAGAGTTGTTTTGGTTTCATGCTGGTGCTCAAGGGCGACATCTGCTGGATCAAATAATCACATATAAAGCCTTTAACAGGGAGAACAACAAAAACAACACAACAAAGATGTAATGTAAAAGGAGGAGGATGAGAGTTGAGCTGGTTAGTGGTTGTAGGCGATGTTGAAGAGGTGAGTTTTTAGGGATTTCTTGAAGGAAGTGAGTGAGGGGGGGGGGGGGGGGTGGGGGGGGGGTCTCTGATGTTTGAGTGAGTTTATTACTTATTGTTTATTTGGATCCCCATTAGCCACTACCTAAGTAGTGACTACTCTTCCTGGGGTCCACGAGGTTTGCATCATCAGCAGACCTGAGAGTGCGGGGTGGGAGTTTGCCAATGGAGGAGCTCAGACAGGAAGGGGGAGGAGCCAGATTATGGAGGGCTTTGTAGGTGATGTTGAGGAATTTGAAGTGGAAATGCTGGAGGATGGCGAGCCAGCCAGTGGACGTTATGAAGGATGGGGGTGATGTCATCACAGGATCCATCCAGCCAGCGTTTCAGGCATTAACAATGACGATATAGAAATAGTAAATCAGGTCTGATTGTGATCTTGTTTGCTTTGCAGCTCATGAAGAGGCTTCAATAATTAAAATCAGTCTGTTTCATAACCAGCTAAGAACTCCTCACGGGAACTTCAAGAGCAGCAAAATGTGTACTTACCACCTCTTCTGATACTCATTTGACCCTCTGTGTGCACCACAGCCCACAGTGTGTGTGTGTGTGTGTGTGTGTGTGTGTGTGTGTGTGTGTGTGTGTGTGTGTGTGTGTGTGTGTGTGTGTGTGTGTGTGTGTGTGGGAGTTAAACATTTCCAAAGGGGAAATGAAGTGAGCTCTGTGTGCACAGAGGCATCCAGCTCTGTCCCCACAGGAGAACCCGCCACCATCCCCTCTCTGGGTACCAAATGATTTCCACATTGACACATTTATGCGGCCTGATCTCAAAATCCTGTCTGCATGATCCTGTTAGCGTACGGATCTGGGGAATGTTTTATTTCGCAAAAAAAAAAACACAGAAGCAAAATATTGTTTTGAATTACTCACTGTCAGTTTAAGAAATGTACTCCCTGTTTTCAGCTGCAGCACAATAAAGCAGCAGTGTGTTCTCTCTCTTTTCTTTTTTCTTCTTGTCTGAACTTTTGGCTTCTCCAGCTGTTTGAAGGAGCTGCTTTGAAATTAAAACTTTTAAAAAAACACACAAATGTAACTGTGAATGTTATCTCGCTGCACATTAAACTGCCGCGTGGGAGAGGCCGATCTGGAGATATTTCACACCACAGACCATGGCTGTTATATGGTCAGAGGGCTTTAATTCGCCCCCTCTCATTGACGATCATTCGACAGCCGCAGAGACACGCTGACTCCAGCCCCGGCGAGGACGGCGCTTAAATAAACCAGCGCGGTGGAGAAACGGTCCGACTGAAGTCTGAAGTCGTTTGTGTTTACAGATTAAGTTTGTCTCTGAACTTGTTTTCTTCTTCTTCCTTCAGGCTTGTGCTCACCGCTGGAAAAACATCTACTACGACTCGGAACACATCCTCCCTCATGGATACTGCTCCATCATCCCCTCCACTCTGCAGGGCAGGACCAAGCCGCTCATCCCGTGTTATGAAGGTACAGCACGGGGCAACACGAGGCCCAACACTTTGATTTAGTAACCAAACGTGCAAGTTCCCAAAAAATATTGTCTTCTTGGTTTCCCACAAAAATAATCCAGTCCCATCCCAATACCGGTAAAATGAATCCCGTCCTATTCCGCTTCCTATTTTTTTAATCTCTCGGATGATCCTCAAATGCTCGACATCCCTTAAACACATAAAAACTTAACAGTGATGTAAGTTTTACTAATTTTACTCTACACTTTATAGGCCTTCTTTTGGCAACAGCTAAAGTTAGCATTAAAGGATTCCCTTGTTTGATTAGTGACTATTATGGTTTTTGCGGTCAATAATGACGACCAGACCAGCGGCCTGATCATGGCTGCCCACGCGTTGTCATGTTTTTTATTGGAGGCACAGAAACACAATAAAGTCATCAACCAACATACAATGTAATGATCCATGTCCGCATGAAAAATGAAAGCTCTGGTTTTCATATATTTGGATGCATTTAAGCAGGAAGGTAAAAAAACTTACTGCTGCTGTTTCAAAGGTGTGAAAGTGACTGATAAGGGTTTTTGAAAAGTCTTTGAGAGAGAAGTTTACATCTCACTTTCCCACTTTTCATTTGGCCAGTTTTGGTGTGAAATGTCTGTTTCCAAGCACGCTGACATTCAGCTCTAAAAACAAAAGTGTGACTATTTTACAGCCTCGCAGATCTGAAGGTGTTGCTGCAGGCTATTTGTGTTTTTAATCCTATTACGACCAATCAGAGTCATTGTTTGACTCCACCATGAGATCCAGATCCTCGGGGTTTGGAGCGAGAGATTTAGTCTGTTTTCTTCTCCTCTGTTGTTGGATTTATTTGATCACGGTGCAGCACCTTCAGCGCTCAGCCCCTCACATCTGCTTCTGGCTTTTCTCTGTGGCGTTTTGGCGCTGAGGATCCAGTAGCAGGAGAGCCTTGAAGTGTGATCTCGCTCCGATGCAGAGCTCCGTCTTCTGAAGAGCACACAGGTTGTTAGGCTGAGAGAGTACGAGCATACTTTCTAAAGGAGGTGGAAAATGTGTTTACCTCAGCAGCTTTGGGCAAAAAGAAAAACTAAGCACAAAGATGCTTTTATTCCAACTTTTTAAAGCACAGATTTTTGAGTTTATTCTCCTGAAATGAGACGCTAACGAGGAAAGATTTGTCTGGAAGGTCGAGAATCAGGATGACATTTTGTTTTGATTGGGGTTAATCAAATCCATTCTTTCTGCAGGTTGTTTTTCCTTTTGCACATCCTCTACAAGACTTTAAAATCAAAATCCATTTAAAATGGAATGTGCTGTGTTACATCTTCATCTGACTCATGCTCATGTTTTGATATGTGAGTCAGTTTTACACCTTCATTGAGCTCCCAGGTCAGGACTCCACTTCCTCTCCTGTTCCTCTCGCTCTGCCAACAGTTTTGGAGAAAGCAGATCCATTTTGCATTCTGCACAGATCCAAGCTCAATATTTGTGTAACCTGAGAGTATCGCCCCCCCCCCCCCCCCCTCCTCTCTTTTTACTTTCTGAATGTGGCATGGCACCCCTTCTTCTTCTTCTTCTCCCTCTCAGTCTGCGTTCTGCCCCCCAGACTCCTCGTGCGTGGATGGGGACCCGGGTCTTTGACGAGCTCCATATGGAATGCAGGAAAAAACTCCAGTAAAATGCTGGCTCAGGCACACAGTGAAATAATTTGTGGTTTTGTTTTTTTTTCTTTGCAGACTACAAGCAGAAGTACGGGGAAGAGCACGGCTCGTGCCAAGCCGGGATTGCGGGAGTTTTTACCGAGGTCAGTAACCGCGCATGTTCATCTTCTTAATGTATGCAATACTTTTTGTTTTTTTGTTTTTTTTGTCAGTCAAAAATACAGATTATACAGTCATGAGCCATTTTCAAAATATCCTCTTGAAAATTTCTAGATAATTTAAGGAGGACTTGCTCCTGAAATCCTCCTGACCTGGTTGTTCTCATATGCACCTCACAGCTGGAGACTATCCCTGTCTGACAGGAGGGGGGTCCGGGGGGTCTTCTGAGGGAAGACATGACCTAAAAAAAAGAATAATCTTTATTTTATATAATAATCATCTTTATTTATAGAGCACTTTTCAAAAAACAAGTTACAAAGTGCTTTACAAGGACAGCAAATATAAAAACAGGCAGGTCATAGAACAATAAACACAACAAATCACTTTAAAATATAAAATCCATTTTAAAAGAACTGTACAATACAACAAAAAGAGTCTATACAGTCTCTGCATCGTGTACCATTCTCAGAATATAAACGTCACCACCCCCGCCCACTGAGTCCAGGTCAATTCTCCTGATTGAACCGCTTCTACAGAATCACAATATCAACAAAAGAGCGGCGCAGACCATACTAGAGAACAGAAAACATAAAGCAGCAGTTTAATGACGTGCATGGAGAACGCAGCGGCCGCGTGCAGACCGTCTAAGGTCGTGCACAGATATTGCAGCAGTCGTGTTCGCATTAGTTCTCTTGAAAGAGAAAGTGTTTTTGTCTCTGCAGTGTGAGCACAATCACTAAAGATTTATTACTGGATTTGAAGAGGAATGGTTTCAGTGGCGTCTGGTTACAACCAAAATTACAAACATAAATTCAAATTAAGTGCAGTGATGTTTCTGAATTTTTATGTTGAAACAAGCATTAAAAGAAGTCGGAGATCTTTGGTTGCTCAGTTGAGGATTAGAATCTTTCCTGTTGCTCTGGAAGTCAACAGAATAAAAGAACATCCCGGAGGAACACAGACGATGGGATTTAGGAAAAGTCGAGAATGAATTTGTGTAATAAATGTGTTTTTCAATAACCTGAAATGTTCTGGAGAGACGATGTCGACAGGATGAAGAGTTGGTTTACTTTCAATCTTTCTAGTCTGGCTGGTTATTCAGTTTTGTTAAGTGTCTACCTGTGGTTTCAGGTCTCTTTGTACTCACTGTAACTCTGTTAGGCTGTGTTGGGCTGGACATGTTTGTGTGTGACACAATAATCAAATCAAATCCTCTTGTGCATGGTGGGGTTGTTTTTCAGTGAGTGTCCTAACTTTCAGGGTAAGATGAGATTGATAAGTTAGAGTTCAGCACCCGGACAGCTCGGTGAATTAAATGGTTTTGGTGGTTCTGGTGGTTCTGGTGGTTCTGGTGGTGCCCGTATCTCTTCCTGGATGTCAGGAGGTTGAAGAGCTGGTTCAGCTTTGCAGGATGAGGCAGGTTTTTGGTGATTTTCCAGGAGGTTGGGGAGCGAAGCACAAGGAGCGGCTGAGGCTCAGTTGGTAGAGTCAATCAATCAATCAATTTTTATTTGTATAGCGTCAACTCATAACAAGTGTTATCTCAAGACACTTTACAAAGGAGCAGGTAAAAGACCTTACTTATTTCTATGTTACAAAGACCCGGCCTATCCATCATGAGCACTTGCTAAAGCAAAAGTTACAGTGGTAAGAAAAAAAAACAGCATATAAAGGCAGAAATCATCGGCCGGATCCCCGGCTCATGACCAAACAGCCTTCACAGGACTAGACTGCACCTGGCTTGGAAGGGGATAGGGGGAGAGATGGGATAAAATGCCGGAAGAGGGATAGGGAGCAAAAGGGGGGGGGGGGTTCTGGCAGGCCGTCAACCAAAGATCTTGAGGAGCCTAAGAGAGCTCAAGAGCTCCCAACAAAGTAGGTGGAGAGTCCGTCGTCTCTCAACCGGAAGGTCGGGGGTTTGATCCCCAGCTCCTGCAGCCACATGTCCGATGTGTCCTTGGGCAAGACACTTAATGTCAAGTTGCTCCTGCTGCTAAATCTGCAGCGTATGAATGGATGAGTTACTACTGTTGGTCACTTTGCTCAGCAGCCTTTACCATCAGTGTGTGAATGTGTCGGTGTGACCTGCGGTGTAAAAGAGCTTTGAGTAGTCAGAAGACCAGTTTACCATTTTACCAGTGATCTTAGTGGCTGTCTTGCAGCTGGTCATGATGCTTTCAGTGACGCCTCAGTAGAAAGAGCACATGATGGACTCTGGGCTTAAAGTCCATACAGACCCATGTGTCAGTAATAAAGCAGTAAATTAAAGTTAACATTATCATGCTCAAGTTTTCAAACAACCCTCGTCTCTGTTGACGTTGACTCTGTAGGATTCTGAGAAGAGGAAACAGAGACGTTATATGTTCTGGCTGGAGGGGGGATTTTTCCTCCTCCCTTGAGCTGTTTAAGATGTCAAATAATGTGGAAAATCTGAATTCTACACTCAGACATACATGAGCATTGGTATCAAAGCCGCCGGGCGCTCCGCTGACTATCTGCTGATAACTGTTTGTCAGTGTATGTTTCCATAGGCTGATAGTGGAGGAAAGGCTGCAGCGACCTCACTTAACCTCCGCTGTGGTTCCACCAGATAAAGACTTTAAAGAAAATATACCAGTTTCCTTTCCTCCTCAGCATAGACGTGCCTCTGTTTTTGTATGAACATGACATCATCCCTGGTGGCACAGTACCTTTTTTGTATCTCATCTTTTTAGTTTCCCACGTTTTCTGTGAGCAGGAAGAAAGATGAAGCTGGCACAGTAAGCAGAAAAAGTTACAGATTTAAAGTAAGAAAAGGAATCCAAGCCAAAAATAAAAAATGTGCACACGAGGAATGCTTTTAAATTCATTCAAGCATTTTAGACGGTTTTTTTTGCTTTCTATACATTAGCGATATAATTCTCTCCTGATGTTCTACGAGTCCTTTTAAAGTCTCATATGACTGTTACGCTCAGTTAGTGGAGAACAGTTTACTGTGAGCGATGTAAAAAGCGTCCTCAGGGCACGGCTGAATATTCAGGGGGAAATGGATGGATGGATTTTGATAGATGGATGTCACATAAATCAAGGACATTTGCTTTAGTTTACTTCAACCTAATGAGGTTAAAGCATTGCAGGTCACTTGATGTTTCTATACCTGAGCTGCAAAGACAATATGAATCAAAAGTTCTAGACGTATTGATCATTTTTAAGCTGAAGCAGAATTACGTTCTTGTACCTAAATATGTGAATTCGATGCTTTGCTTTGTTTTACAGAATTATCCAACTTAAAACACATTGGCTCTCGTCCAATGATGATTAAACCCTCTGTCGGCACTGGCCATTCTTTTTCCTCATGAAATTCTTGGTTTCATATCGGGGGAACTATCGCATGATTTGCGCAACAAGCCGTTTAGCGCCCCCTGCTGACTCAATGTGTGATTACTCCAACATACGCTTACCTCATGATCTGAAACTTTGCCCACGTTTAGTTTTGAGGTTTTGAGGTGTGAGGGAGATGGAGCACCTACTGGTTGATTTTGTCTGAAATGCCGATCAAATGTGCAGAAAACTTACCATTTAGGTGGGAAACAGTGCACACTTCATGCTCCACTAGGCCGCATGCATCCTCCCTGAAATGTGTCTTGAGAAATAGAGAGATGCATGAGTATTGAAATCAATTTGTTTATTTCTACATCCGTCGTTAAGGCGGAGGCCGAGTGTTGTTAAGCGGCTGTGTTTACTATGAAGCACTGTGGGAAAAAACTGCAATCAGAGGCATGACTTCCTCACATTTCTGTATCAGTCTTTTCAAAGTAAAAGCCATCCAGTGCTTCATATATTAATTGGTACCAATGTTTATTAAATAATGACCCGCGGTCCAGACCTTGATGACCTCATAGCTGGTTACGGCCGAGCGTGTAACATCTGATGATAAGAAAAGAGAGGAGTCATTAACTTTAGGAAAAAAGAAAAGTTTCAGATAAGTTTCAAACGACAGAATCATCAAACCCTCCTGACTGAGGACGTTAGAGTTGATCTGTTGGGTTTTTTTTTAACCCCCCCTCATTTTAAAGAATGTGAAGAATTCAAAGAGACTGTTCGACCTTATCCTTGTCTGAACCGCGGAGCGTGCGCCTGGTGGTGCCCAGATGTTTGACACACCGCAGCACAGGAGAGGACTGCTGAGTGAGGTCCTCTCTGTGTTGTTCAGCTTGTTTGAGTTCTCAGTGGTGTCTAAACATCCTGTGACACTGATACCATCAGCCGAGAGAAAACCAGGAAGTGCTGAGCAGATCTTTTAAGTGTACTGTAAAAACAGAGCATCTTTATTGTCCTGCTCTCTGGTCCCTTCAGCAGCCGAACGTCACGACAGAAAGCTGTGAACGACTCATTTTTACAGACGTCATTTTGCCCCGACTTCAAAGAAGGCGGCTTCGGCGGGCACGCCATCTGGACGTGTGGTTAACAGCAGATAGACACAAACCAGTGTGTGGCTGCTGGTTAACCAAACGCTCACCCGGCAGTGTTTTTCTTTCCTGACATTTTTCTTCAGCAGCTAATTGCTGCGCAGACAGACGTTCAATCAAAGTCATTAAAACAAAACTGAGTATGCAAGCCTTTAAATCTTTGCTGGATTGGCATGTACTTAAAGAAGGAGGATTATTTCCTCCTCTTCCCACTTACCCGGCTTTAGAGACATCATGTCTTGTATGACTCTAGAGATTATTGGTTTCAATAGGACACATTTTACCGAGCGTGGCGCTCCTTCTGGCTGTTGCTATCCTGATTTTAAGTGTCAATTTGAGGTTTTCTTGTTTCTTTTTGTGCTTTAGGTTTTTCTCTCTCATAGTGTTAAAGATTCGTGAGCCATCTTCTACTCTCTGGTGATTTATTTTGATCTTTTGAATAAATGACGCTCCTTGTCTCAGAGTCTAGAGGTGGAGCAGGGCAGGGTGAAGACAGTGAAATGAAAAATGGGCAAACTGGCAGCTCTAGGGAAGAAGTTAACTTGACATATCACCCAGCCCTGAGACGCACTTTATGTTACTCTGCTTAATATTTGGTTCCTTTAAAGCAGCATTTTTGTAAATATACAAAAAGTAGTCCGATGTCATATAAGACACTATCATTAAGTAAAATGGAATTTTTTTTATTGTTTTTAGGCTGTTAGGCTGGATAGGTTTATTAGTGTGTGCGTGGCTGTCGCTACGTTATATACCTAACTAACCACCTTAAAGAACAGTTTCTGTCACCCTCATTTTGGGGCTCACGACCTGAAAAGTTTGGAAACCCCTGCTTTAAAGGTCTGTTATTTACTGGCTGTAATGTAGGGCTTTCACACTTGCAGAAAACTCCTGATATTTCCAGGAGGAGCTGCATGTGTGAATGCAAACTGCCATGTTTTTCTCTCTGACTTTATCTTTAATAAACATTGGTACCAATTTCACCTGCCAGCCCTCCTCGTATTATTTCAGCAGAAAGTCCGAGTGAGCTGAAGTGAGAAAGCTGCAGGAAGTTATCCAGAGAATTCACCTCCAGTTTTCCGTCTCGTCTGACAGCGATAGTCTCCCGCTGTGAGGTTCATATAAGAACAGCCAGGTCAGGATTTCAGGAGCAGTCCTCCTGAAATGATCTAGATCTTTTCAGGAGTGCAGATATGAAAACAGCTATAGACTGTGTTTATTCTGATTTTACAGTTGTCTCTTCTGTAACATTCAGAACATATCTTCTGTGATAAGCTGTGTATTTTGGTTTCAGTGTCCTGTTTGGTTTGGGTAGACGGATGTGTTAGGACATGGGGTCAGTGTGTTTTTCTGCTCTAGGTGAAAAAAAACAAAATGTCCATTCCCTTTCTTTTCTCTGTTACGTTCGAGTGACCATCATGTATAAAAATTGAGGGAAAATTAAAGGAAATTTTTTCAAATTTTCAGGAGCTGGTTGTGATGGGGGCGCCGGGGTCGTACTACTGGACCGGGACCATCAAGGTGTACAACCTGACTTCTGAGTCCTTCTCCAGCCCGAACAAAGACGACATCGACTCCCACAGATACAGCTACCTGGGTGAGAGAGCCTTCTTTTTGTTAACTCTCAACTACGAGCACCAAAAGAGCGGTGGCTGATTCTCGTCTCTGTCCTCAGGCTACGCGGTGACCGCCGGACACTTCTCCTCCCCTAACGTAATCGACATCGCTGCAGGGGCGCCTCAGCACAGCGGCAGTGGAAAAGTAGGAACCTCCATCTTTTTTTTCTCTTGTTTCCAGCTGATGAATTAAAAGTTTCTTCTTGCTGCAGTGATTTTTTATTTTTTTCTCCTGCGCAGGTTTACATTTTCAAAATCGATGGTGCGTCTTTAGTGAAGAGTTTTCAAGCCTCTGGGAGAATGGTATGAGCTGGGACGAGGTCTTGTATTCTCCCTTCTGTTTTTAATTAGTTTATTTTATTTTAGCTTAGCTTAGCTTAGCTTAGCTTAGCTTAGCTTAGCTTAGCTTAGCTTTCTTTAGTTTAGTTTAGTTTAGTTTAGCTTAGCTTAGCTTAGCTTTGTTTAGCTTAGCTTAGCTTAGCTTTGTTTAGTTTAGTTTAGTTTAGTTTAGCTTATCTTAGCTTAGCTTAGCTTTGTTTAGTTTAGTTTAGTTTAGTTTAGTTTTTGTTTTGTTTTGTTTTGTTTTGTTTTGTCTTGTTTTGTTTTGTTTTGTTTACTTTAGTTTTGTCTTGTTTAGTTTAGTTTAGTTTAGTTTAGTTTACTTTAGTTTTGTTTTGTTTTGTTTTGTTTTGTTTTGTTTTGTTTTGTTTTGTTTTGTCTTGTTTTGTTTTGTTTACTTTAGTTTTGTCTTGTTTAGTTTAGTTTAGTTTAGTTTAGTTTACTTTAGTTTTGTCTTGTTTTGTCTTGTTTTGTTTTGTCTTGTTTTGTTTTGTTTTGTTTTGTTTTGTTTTGTTTTGTTTTGTTTTGTTTTGTTTATTTGCACATTTTTTTGAAAGAAAAGTCAAACAGAAAAATAAAACAAATAAAAAATAAAACTCATGTTTGGTGAGGTAGAAACCCACGAGGGCTTATCTCAAAACCTCACCTTAAGAGATTCAACAAAGTTAAAATAAAATACAGTAAAAATAACAAAGTAAGGATATTTACTATCACAAAAAAAAATTACCCAACTGAAAATGACATACAAACATTGAAAACATAAAAATTGAGCAAAACAGCAAATCGCTCTGCAGCACATATTTTACATCAAGGCTTTTGTTTTACTGTACTTTTTCATTATTTTCTAACCTAATCTGCCTCTGGGATCATGTGGTTAAGTCTTCTGATGCATTGCAGACATGCACTGTTGTTAGAAATGTGATGTTTACGTCTGCGCTGCAGTAACCAAAGCCAGGGAGGCAGCTAATGCTTCCCTTACAGAAGGGGAATAAAGGTTTACAGCTGCTTTTAAAAGGTGCAGATAATAAAGGGGAAGTCAGAGTGTGGTTGGTATGTGAATGTAGTGAAGTGAAGAAGAAGTGTCTGTGATCTGACCCATTGCTCTGTGGCTCGGCTTGGTTTCAGATGGGCTCTTACTTTGGCTCCTCATTGTGTGCAGTTGATCTGAACCAGGACGGCCTGTCGGACCTGCTGGTGGGGGCTCCCATGCACAGCCAGCTCCGGGACGAGGGCCAGGTGTCTGTGTACCTCAGCAAGGGCAATGTGAGTGTGGGAACATGAAACCATAACGCACAGATTTATTTTTTTGTCCACTATACATTTCTTTACCGCTATCGTTGCTCCGCTCGCTCATGTTTGATTTCTTTCCCCATCGTGTTTGTTATCATGATTACAGATTAAAACAGCAGAGCACGATGGGAGTGAGGGAGATTATTTTTACCCAAGCTTCTGTTTGTACCTTTTATATTTATGAGTTGTTCCAGGGAGGAAGTCGGCTGCATGTTTGGTGGTTTAATCGTTTGGATAAAAGCCAAGCGACTGCAGTCCTAGCCAAAGAATTTTATCTGAGAAAAGAGGCAATCATTTCTCTGCAGCAGTTTACTTTTGTCTTCTGCCAGCTCAGAAAATAAATCTTGTGGCCTCTTTTTTATTTTTTATTTTGCAGGGTGTGATGGAGGAGGCCGGTGTTTTGAGTGGCGACAACGCTTTCAATGCACACTTTGGAGAATGCATCACCGCAATCGGAGACGTAGATGACGATGGATATCAGGGTCAGTAAAAAGTTCTGTGATAACTAAGACTGCCTGATATATTTCACAAACATGTTTTTGAGTTAAGACCAAACACAGTGATGATGTCAACCATTGGCTTCCGAAGCAGAGTTTTGATACCAGATGATGGCAGTCGCCATATTGGAACTGCTGGATGGTAAACCCTGATATTTCTTGCGTTTCCACAGCCAATCGTATAAAAACAGCCTTGAAGACTCTCTCCAAATCCACAGGACTTTAGAACATGGTGCATTTTATGTTTGTGCTTTATTACCGCTGTCACACAGGAAGAGACGATTCTTTCGACCAATCAACGGACTGCATTGGTCTAGCTCAAACCTTTAGGGTCGGCAGGTACGCTTGGCACCCCGACAGAAGGGTACCAAAAAAGTAGAACCTGTTACTCTGGTAGCCTTCCCGACTTTTACAACAAATCTCTCGTATTTTACAGAAGACATAATTGAAGTTTCAGGATTTACTCCCATCCTCACAGGACCAATCATTTTAGATTTATTCCACCATGGTGGGAAATTGTATTGGCTGCAACTTTACACCTGTGTAAATTGTGTTTTTGCTAGTGATTATCAAAGCGTCTGCAATGCAAAAAAAAAAAAAAAAAAAAAAAAGTAGAGATTATTTCAAGCCAGAGAGTCCTTGAATGCACCAAAAACAGAGCAGCCATTAAATTCAAAACTTTTCTCCGTCTAACCGCGAAACCATCTCTAGGGCCGCCATTTGGCCAGTCAGAGCCCGGATGGCGGTCGTGTTTTGCATGTATACGTTTGTTTAATGACCCTCCAGTGGTCTATGAAATCTCTAATCCAGACAATGACCAACACTTTGCTGTAGTATTCATTGCTATTAATGTGACATTGTCCTGACAGTCGTGCAACAGAACTATTTCCTGTGTCGTCTGGCGAGAGATAAAGTTGTAAATGTTATATTTCTCACGAGTAAATGTGGTCTGTTGGGGTGGTGCAACCAAACCAAGCGTCCATTTTCACAGACTTTCTGTTTAGTTAACAAGGGGGGAATCTATAGAAAAATATTGCCCTCTTCTACCCGCTTGTGCACCAAGTTATCCTGACACATGCCAAATAATCCACACACACACACACACACACACACACACACATACACACACACACACACACACACACACACAGGCGTACATCTACATGTCGTTTTTCCTGGCACTCGTTTGTCTCAAACTCTCAGACTGGAAGCTGCTGCCCGGTTTCATCACTGTGAGAGAAACGCTTCAAGGCTTGCTGCCTGGCACATGTTGTGTGTTTTTGTGTGTGTGTGTGTGTGTGTGTGTGTGTGTGTGTGTGTGTGTGTGTGTGTGTGTGTGTGTGTGTGTGTGTGTGTGTGTGTGTGTGTGAGGAGAAAGATGGCAGCTGGGAAGCATAACTCATCCTGCAACTCGTCGCTCTCGCTGTGTCTGAAGAGCCACACTGACTAATCTGTGATTTACAACCAAAACTGCTACCATTTAAATCTGAGAGAACTACTGTAGAAAAATCAGAAAAACACATGTCTCGTTTAATTCTGCTTCTTCATAATCTGCTTAATTAACACAACAAATAAAGCCATTCTTTGTCCTGTTTCTGCGGAATGTGCACCACTCGACCCCAGAGGTGTTTTGGTTTATAAAAAGAACGTTTATATATGGACTCGCTGTGGAAATGGGGATAAGGAGACGTTGTTTTTCTCATTGCCAGCACTTTATAGTCTTGTTTCCACTCTCTCAGAGGTCGCACAAGTTTTTACAGCCACTAACAACACTTAATTGTCTATTAAGAGTCTTACTGTAACTGCTTGTTTCCCAGGCGCTGGCCAGCTGAGAGTAAACAGAAGGCATTCACAAAAAACAAGCCGTCGCTTATGTCCTCATTTTCTTTAACGTCTCATGAAAAAAAAACACTGTTTTACTCGTTTCTTTAGATGTAGCAATCGGAGCCCCTAAAGAGGACGACTACGCAGGAGCTGTTTATATCTACCACGGCGATGAAACGGGAATCATCAGCAAATACTCCATGGTAAGATTTTTTTTTATCTCTCACATTAAAATATGATGGATATGTTTCTTGCTTAGTCATGGTTAGCGATGGAAGATCATTGTTTCCCTCCTTTTCTTCAGATATAATATTTCTCTGTAGCTTCACCGCAGCGTGCTAAACGCTGATGGAAACCATGTGTTCACCTTGCATACTGAGGTAGCTGAGTAATGTGTGGTAAAGTCGCAGGTGGTGTTGTAGCCTCAGGAGTACAACAGAAGAAGACCCACGCAGCTTTAAATGAGGGAAATCAGCAGATCTGCGTGGGAAAGTTTAAAAAAACTCCCCACATGATCTAAACTATCACCAGTCCTGAGGTCGGCTTGTGTGAAGCAGTTTTAAAGTTTTTATTCCAAACATTGATATTTAATTTGAAGGTGAAGACAGGGTTGTTGATCAGATAAAGTTGCACGTGTGGGGTGATAGCAGGGCACGGATTAGGTCATTATTCAAAAAGAGCTTGCAGAAAGAAATTCAACTATACAATCAGAGAGATAGTTACACTTAGGACAAGGAAGGATAAAATGGTATGTATACAGGAAGCAGTTTTCCCTGCCTTTAAAGAGGACATATTCTCCCCCTCCTCCACCTTTTCAAACAGCCCCCCTGTGGTCTAAATGAAACATCTGTGCTGTGCTTTGGTCAAAATATAACATGAATCAAGCACCAGAGGAGGTTTGTGACCCTGTATAAACCAGCTCTCTCAGAACACTCCGTTTTGGTGTGTGTGTCTCTTTAAATGTAATGAGCCCCCTCCTTCGCTAGCGAGAAGAAAAATGGCCAACCTGTGTAAAAGTTTTGTTCTAGGCTGGGGGTGGAGTCCATGGGTGGAGATGCAAGGGGAGGGGAAGGGATTTTTTTTTACCAGAATCCCACTGTGACATCACAAGGAGAGCACATTTGGGTTTATTTCACAGTTTGTGGGTCTGTGGACACTCAGGTTACCAAAATACTGTATATGTTCAAAAACACTGTAGAAGTGGATTATTCACAACATGTCCCCTTTATGCTAAGCTAAGCTAATTCCGTTTTTTGCTCTGGCTCTTACTCTGTGCAAGAACGCTACCAAGGAAATCTCCCGACATATCAGCGATGCAAAGCTGCAAAATGTATCTTCGAATTTGAACAAACAGATCACACAATCTTCTAGCTCGCTCGCTTTCTTCCATGTTTGCTCACACATGTTTTTATCTGACGGCGGGTATCATCTGTTACAGAAACTGTCTGGACGCAGCGTTAGCCCTGGTCTGCAGATGTTTGGCCAGTCGATCTCAGGCGATGTGGACATGGACAGCAACGGATACACAGGTAAGTTCAAAACCAGATGAGATGAAAAGTTTCATTTTCACAGAAACATCAAACAGGAAAAGGAAGAGATTGTTAAATATTTAGTTTTGCAGCCTCATGGTTTCTTGCAGCAGCAGTGCAGAGACTCGTGATAGAGGCATCTTGTTTACTGCATTCCTCAGCTGACATTCAGACTCAGCCTGTGTGACAGTTTAACTCCTCTGTGCATTGTTTTGGATTTGCAGGTGTAAAGAGTGCTTAAAGCAGAAGCTACATTACTGTCATATTGAATCTAGTCGTGTGCCTGTCTTTGTTGCAGATGTCACCATTGGAGCGTTCATGTCAGACAGTGTTGTGCTGCTGAGGTGAGTAGCTGTATCATTTTGTGAACCTGCTGTTTTTCTTTGCTTACCTCTGTCTCGTCTTAATCTCCAGTTTCTCCCACTCTTGTGTTCCTGTGTGGTTGTAGGACCCGGCCTGTCATTACGGTGGATGTCTCCATCTTCCTGCCGGTCTCCATCAACATCACTGTGCCGCAGTGCCACGAGGGCCAGCACCACCAAAACTGCTTCAATGTCACCGTCTGCATGCGCTTCAGGGGGAAACAGCTGCCCGGGCAGATAGGTGAGAACAAATCCTCCAGGAGAAACCTCTAATTCTCACTATGAGGGCATCAAAACTAACTGTGAGTGATATCAGACCCAACTGCTGTCACCCACTGAAACAAAAACATCTTTCCACTTTGAGTGTCCCTGACTAAGGATTTCATGCTACAATTCTACAATTCACTTAGCAGACGCTTTTATCCAAAGCGACGTACATCAGAGAGTAAGTTCATGAAACATTTTTCTTCATTGTAATTCATGGTAAAGCAAAATTAACAAACATTTTTCATTCCCTTGGTAAAAAACCTGTTTCCCTTCCTGGTGCATCACCTCACAGTGACACACCTGCAGCATTTCAAGCGTTCCTGATAACTGGTAACCTTGAATTTCAGACTTCTGAGATCAAATGGAACGCACTAAAAGCTAGATACAATTCTACAATTCACTTCACAGACTCTTTTATCCAAAGCGACGTACATCAGAGAGTAAGAACAACACAAGCAAGGATCTAGAAAAAAGGGAACAATGTGAGTAAGAGCAAACGATCAGCTTTGAGTCTGATTGGACACACAGGTGCTGACAGGAAGTGACCAGAGGCAAAGCACAACATTGAGGGCAGTTCTTGAGAGCTCTAATCAGTATAGAAACCATCTTATAAGTCGTCGTTATCAAACAAAAACCATCGTCATTACCATCATCATCATCAATAATATGGAGACCATCATCATTAAGTTAGTAGGTATTCATGAAAGAGCTGGGTCTTTAGCTTTTTCTTAAAGGTGCAGAGGGACTCTGCAGATCACATGGAGACTGTTCACTGTCTGTTCTGCAGAATGGGAGACCTCTGTGTGTGATTGTGCACCTTTTTATAACTATGCACTGAAATTCACATCGAAGGTCTTTTAAGCGATTATTGGAACGGTTGACTTTGAGAGGGAAGTCCTGGTTATTCGAGTTTTGTGCTGTATGTCTTGGCAAACCAGCACTTTGGCACAGTGAACTTCTAAAGCCATACTTTTGAGCTGTCATTTTGTGTTTTTCGAGGGATTGAAAGTGATACCACTTGAACTTTTAAGTTGTGTAAAAATGTAAACATAATCCGGCTGAGAAATTCTCCTCAGGCTTGGAGGCAGTCAGCGCGGTTAGCACTTTGGCCTCGGCATCGGTGCGTTTGGCCCGACCCTTCAGGGGTGACTGGCTCGAGGGTGCGGTGCCTGTTTGAGTGCTGAGGTGCGGTCCTGTTTCCAGTGTTTGGGTGTGGTCACTCACACTCCCCCCCCCCCTCCAAACCCAACCCCAGGGGAGCAGGAGCCCTGTCGTTACATAATGACTGTGTCCTGGCTCTCAGGGATAAAGCCTCTCTGTTCAGCCGTCTGGACAGCAGCATGGAAAGTGCAGCAACATGTGTTTGGTGACTCCTCTAATGAAGCCTCCTCTGGAGTGAGCTCATGGCGTTTCCCTCTGTTTGGAGCGGAGGAAACAGGGAGGCTTTGGTCCAAGTGGGGTGTGTTCTGCCACCCTTCCCACTGTTTTACCGGTGTGACACCCTCCTGAGGCAATTACTCCAGACTGAGGCTGATTCATTCAGAGTGGATGGCGTTTGAATGGCCCTGAAGCCCCATGTACGGTTTTCCTAGAAGTGTTAGTAATGTTTGACATCATGCTTTACGATTCTTCAATTTTTAAATAGATTTTGAAGGAGCTCTTGCTTAAGGTCAGGGGGGCGGAGCCAGCAAGGAATGTTGTTTTTGAAATGTTTTTCTTTCACAGAAATACAACCTCTGGCCCAGCGGCTGGAAAATTAATTTCCCTTTTTTTCCCCGCTAATCCTTGTCTGCTCACCTGAAGCGGAAAATAAAATCTGCACAAAAAGCTTCTAATGTCAAAGATCAGGTTGTCAGCAGTAAATCCTAACCCTCTGTCTTATGAGCACATCTTGAATGTAATAACTCAAAAACTCTCTTAAATAAAAACGATCTTAAATAAGAGCTTTTTATTCGCTTGGAAGATAAAACCATTAAGGATCATTTAACCAGTGTCTGCACATGGCAAACTGCTTTATTTATTGTAATGATGCAACAATCCAACTTTTTCAGGAACGGTACTGATCTGATACCTGGGCTTTGGATATCTTCAGAAACAGATACCTATCCGATCTGATACCAGTGTTTAATTAATCACCTGTATTCCTCACAGTGAGGATGAGACTGGGAACCATTAACATGTTAAACAGCATCAGGTTTTCATAAAAAACATTATCTCGATTTCCTCCAGAGCCCCCTGCAGGCACAGATTCATGACATCACTCAAGCTTCATCCATTGATATTCACAGTCTTTGTATGAAGGTGATGGCAAACTGTTGTTCCAGGTGATTTGTTGCGTTCAAACCATCACCAGAGAGTCTTAACACACTTGTCACAGAGATCTCATTTGAATCCTTATCAGACCGATATCTGATACCAGGATTGGATCACAGCCTTCCTAACTAATTACATTTTCTTGGTCTGTTTTTTTGTCTTCATGTGAAGCTTGTCGTTGTTGCTGCTGTCTCGGCCAGGAAACCCCGCAGCTCTTCTTCATGTGTTTTTCTGGCCTGTGGGTGAAAGATTTAGCAAAACGATGATGTTAAATCTTTCATAAACAACTCGACACAAAGAGCTCTTGTTAAAAGTTAAAGTGATATCAGATGATTCGACCAGAAAAATGTTCCCGTCTTCCCTCTGACTCACATTCATTCATACGCAATAATTCATCTCTTCCACCCCATGTTTTGACGGCAATCATCAGAAAACCAAACCCTTGCATACTTGAAGTGTTTCTCCAGATTATCTTTACTCCGATAACCGCCGCTGTCAGTTAACAGGAAGTCTTAACACTCTTTTCAGATCTGCTTTATAACCTGACGGCTGATGTGGATAAGCGGCAGAAGAGCCAGCCTTCCCGGGTCTACTTCACCCAGAGCGGCTCTCAGATCAGCCAGATGAGCCAGCAGCTCAGCCTGGAGATCGACAGGGAGGAGTGCCAGCGCTTCACCGCCTACGTGAAGGTAAAGGGAGGGATTGTGTGAGTGTGTGTGTGTGTGTGTGTTTATGTTGGGTCTGTCCATATGCTGCTCGTGTCCTCAGCTGATCTTTCCCATGACCCTGATCCCTCTCTCGCTCTCTTCCTCTCTCTCTTCGGTGTTGACGTCTGATATGAGATATTTGCTATTTACAGATAATTGTGTGGTTTGTTTTTGGTTGGAGCGTCACAGTTTGTATGTTTCCAGCTCAGATGTTGACAGTATTGATGATGGGAATTTAGGCTCTCTTCAGGGAGCTGGATTTTTATTGGCGCCCTTTTCTGCTCCCAAATCTTTTCACCTATTGCCCGTTCTGACTTTCATCACTCTAATTAACTCGCCATGTTTCGACCAATTGCAAAAACAATCATACAATGATGCACCACAATATCTGATTAGGTTGAATGTTTTTTTATTCACCGACATTTGGATTCAGCTTCACCTCTCACCATGCTTCATCTCGTTCTGCTGTCTTACATGATGCGGCTGTCAACCTTTTTTAAGACTTAGGAACTTCAGTTCATGTCAAACTCAAAGCCAACGCCTTTAGGAGTCGTGAAGAGGTGATGCTGTGAGAGAAACTGGAAGGGGAAATCTGTTCAGAGTGCCACATTTTCTTCAGTTAAAAATATCGATATTTGACACCAGCTTTCCTCCTGGCATGAAAGAGAGAGAGCAGCGATGATCCATTTAAATTCACTGGTTGGATAAATTGGATGATGAGATGGAATATTTTTAAACGAGGACCATCAAAATCACTTAATTGCACAGAAACGTTTGCAATATTTGTTGATCAAATGCATGAAATTGAACGACAATGGGTGTCTATAACTTCTATTTTTGTTGCAGCCGATTCAAAACTGGTATCGATATGGTTTCATTTTTACTAGTTTCAAAAAATGTGACAACCCTAAACTCTGTCACACATCACATGGGGGTGTAAAAGCAGTAGCAGCTGTAGGTAGGTGTAGGTTTTGGATCAACAAACTCCCGCTGGGAAGCTCTGAGTGTCTCCCTGCTGGGTGAGGTCAAAGGTAACATTCAGGCTTTTCGATGGTCTGTGAAACCATGCTGCTCAAGTGTACGTCTGCAGAGACTGACAGGACACAGAGTCTCCTTTGTGGTCACATAGTCCCTCTATTGTGCTCCTCTGTGATTTAGCCGTGTGACCTCAGTGAGGGACGTCGTCCTGAGGGGCAGCGTCCGGGGGTTTCACCTCCTGTAACACGGAGGCCTGTAAATTTCACAGGCATTCTTAAACTGCGCTCTGCAGGCGCTTTCACAGTGGGAGGCTGAGCTGCATGCTGACTGAGGGGGGGGGCTGTCACTACCAAGCCTGCCTCTCCTCCTTCAACCTCTCAGGCTATAATGAGCGTACATCACACAGGGCAATGTTTAGCAACACATCACGGTCATAAGTCTTAACGTGTTTATCGAGCTCTTCAGTAAGGTTCCAAGAATCCAACAATTAAAAGTTTCTCTCTCTCTCTCTCTGTCTGAGTTTCTGCCCACATAACTTTTAACAGACGATTAGTCAGAAATTAGAGCTTCAGCCCGAAGTTAATCCGACATTTTCAACGCTTTTAAACCATCAGGTTGGTGGGTGGGCGAGTGAATTATCAGTCAGACGAAGGTTCTTTAGTGCCAAATGTCTGTGGCAGCTCTCTCGCTGTGAGGAAAACACACTTAAACTTAAAGTGTCATACGTTCAGGAAAGACGTTACTTCATGCTTGAGCCGTGTTCTGCAGCTCTGTCGGTTCGTTGAGAAGCTTTTATTTGGGGACATCTTGGGAAGCAAACTTATTAAGATTCATCCTGAGTTACATGACGATCCATGCTACTTGAAGCCACACAGGACGGTAAAGGTGTGGCACCCTAAATTACAACATTTCTGTTTACAGGCTGAGTGACCCTTGGATATGTCTGAAAAGTAAAGGGGATAAAAGATTACGACCTTCTGTGATAGCTGCCTGACAGGAGTCTTCCTCATCACATGGTACTTATCTAAACTTGAGAGAAGAAGAATCACCATAATCACAGATGATCTGGCTCCGCTCTTGAGAGCAGGTCTAGTCTAGCTTGACCAATCGGGATCGTTTATCTTCCTCATGCGTCTGCCCACATGAGCCAGTCCAACCCATTCCCCTAGAAGAGGTATGCTAATGGTAACCAGCTGGTTTCTCCACTACATCCCCGAGGGATAACGCGCCCCCCCACCCCCCCCCGCTCAGCTCCAAACATGCAGTGAAAACGCAGCACTGAGCCTCGCGTCACAGCAGGAACTTCTGGTGCTGCTGTTGTGTCAACTGGAGCTGCACGCTTGGCGCTGCTGATGGAAAAAAACCCTCGCGTCAGGGTTGATTGCTCAAGCCGTGATGCATGAGGGCCAGGGTGGAAGCAGGCCATGTGCTATTCTGAGCGGAGTTTGTAACTCCTCTGACCATTTGTCGACCTCATTTGTTGTCATTATAAATGAAAAAAAACACTCTAAAGGGCCTCAGATTTGCAGCTAAACTTATTAAAGCATGGTTCAGGTTTTATTTGCTCATGCAGCTACAGGACTCAATCAGCCATGCTCAATTTTTAACCATCTGAGTCGAGTAAGAAACGAGAGCTGGAGCCACTCACTAAATCATGTAGTGTTGAGAAAACAGGGAGTTATTCAGAGAGAAAACAGAAGCTAATAGCTCAATCTGAAAAGTGTAATTCCTACAGAAATTATGCAAGTCTCTCATGTTGATCATTTTAAATATGTTTTCATTGGCTTTGCCTCACAGCATACCGGCCCTCCAGATGGTTTTTGTTTGGTTATTTTTAGCTTTTTTTCAGTTGTACCTCTCAGTTTGGAGGGAAAAAACTGTTCCGAGCAGCGATGATGACTGATTGATCGTTCGGGGTCCAGATGACACAGAGGTGCAGTGTACGAGCAGGGAATGAGTCACTGAACAAAAAACAACCATCCAGCAGCTTTGAGTAGAAATTCTTCAGTTGGATGTGTTGTATTAAGTTATTTGGAATAATATGCATGTTTTCCGGTGTGGCTGAGTTGTCGTTCCTGAGTCACAGCGGCGGTGAAATAGCTTGCAGGTTTGAAATATTCATCCACGTTCAACTGGACGCCTCAGCGATCAGACTATTTTTATCGTGGCATCGAGGATGGAAAAAGCTCTTCGAGTATGGAAAGTTGAAGAGTAGCCAGTGCAGCCAGGAAGACTTGATTAGATTATTTTAGGTGTTACACACTAGAGGAATTCAGGCCTGATTTGGCCCCCCTTCAATCAGGGGGCGTGGCTGGTTTCTAATAAGTGTGTGGTGTCAAAACGATTACTTTTCTGCCCCGAGCCTGATCGAGCTGCCTTTGACGGAATCCCAGCAATAGCCAATGAGAGCGCGCAAACCAGGAAGTGTCAGCCACCAGATGTTCTGATCTCACCAAAATAAAGCTCCTATACCGTTTCCTCCTCCAGGATTTCACCCAAATTCTTTTTCTAGATTTTAGTTTTTTTGCTGCAAAAAAGAACGCACGCCAGGTCAGTCAGCTGACGACGTCGATCGTCCTCCATGTTTGTTTTCCTTCTGAAGTCGAGTTTGATCACTTGAGTTACTCTGAGATCAGGTGTCTGTGAAATTGTTTCTACAAACGTCGGGTGTGTGGTCTCGTGGTTTTGCCGAATCATCGAGTTTGTGCGTTCTGATGATTACAATGTGTAAGATCGGTTGAGACTGTCCTCATGTCTGTGGTCACCCATGTTTTGAAGATTGTCTAGTGTGAAGCCAGCCGTAGACATCTTTATCAATCTCATATTCATTTGCTATCAAATCAACTGATACAGACTTGATGATAGCACCACATCATCCTCTAACCCACATCCAGTCATTTAAATAGCAATATTCTTTTGAGGTCCTATTTCATATTCATAGCTCGTATAAATCAGTTGTTGTTGCCTGCACATTACTTTGTTTTATGTATGAGCTGCTCTAAAGCAATTACCTCTCGAGGATTTATAAAGTTGTTTGAATTGAATTGAGACACACAAAAATACAGACATTGCATTTAACGAGCAGAAGAAAATGGATCAGTGACATCACAAAAAGCCTTGTTCACACCTGCACAAAACTCCCTAAAAACTCCTAAAACATGGTGTTGCCGGTGGCCAAGTGGTTAGCTTGCACCCCTCATGTACTGAGGCTGTAGTCCTCGATGCGGGACCAGGGTTCAAATCCAACCAAAAGGCACAAAAATAAATCTTAGAAAAACAGCTGCATGCAAACAGCTGATTTTATCTCTCAGACCTTATTTGAGTTTTTCCTGCCGGGCCTTATATTGTATCTTTTCTGCATGATGATGACCCATTCACTGTTCTCCCCATAGAGCCAGACCGCTAACTAAGCTGCAAACAAAACAAACGAACTAGCTGTGAAAAATAGTTTGTGCATGCTCTATGTTGAGTGGAGACCATCAGCGTCTTTAAGATTTAATGTAAAACAAACGTAATGTCAACATCACAAAGTAACCTACGTCCTACTCTAAACTTTTAAAACATTAATTATTCATTCTGTGAAGCACTATTTAGATGTCAGCTGGCTTTCACAAGCTCACTTAGCCGTGATGTACGGCTCGTCTTTGTTAAAGAATGTTGTAAGTATTCCTTTGTCAGATGTTCTGCACTTCTTCCCTGATCACATCGCATGGCATGTTTACATCTTGATGGTCATGTATCCATCGTCGCAGCACGGCGCGGGCGCACGTGAGCCTTGAAATCGTGCCAAGAGCGAGCTCCATTTGTGGTCATGAGTGGTATTGTGCAGCTCTGCGTACGCATCTCAGTCTCCGAGGAGGAGCTAAAATAAGCCGTTAAAGCCGCGGCCTGTAACAGTTGTCTGTTTAATTTAGCTCGTAAAGTATCCTGCTCACTCCCCCCCCCCCTCTGGCCTATATTCACCAAGTATGCGGCCTGTATATCTCATGTAGCGCTCCTAACAT